AAAAATGTAGAAGATTTCGCTTCTACGAGAGAAAAATTTCATGAAAGGGTCATTTCGTTAAGTTTTTCACAAAATGAGAAATAGCAATGTGCAAACGGAACGATAGCCGATTCTTGAGTGATACTGGGTGGCGCGAAGGGGGTCTCTGACAACTTGCAAGCAGTTGGTCTGCTCATTTAAGGGGTGTGGCGATTGCGCTTACTCTTTATCCGGCCCATCGAGAAAAGTTGACATCTGCTGTGGTCCATCAAAAGAACAAAAGATAAACTGGACTGCACAAATGCCAATGTTGTATTAAAGACACCTAGGGGAGAGACGATGCTCTGATTCAACACATCGTCACACAAAACATCGCTCACGAACACATAGAGCGCTCATTCCTGTCTCATTGTCAGGAATGAAATAGAAATTACGAAATCACGAATAGATTTCAATACTAAATTGTGGAAGGATGTGCAGCTAATGGAATCGATTAGAAAAATAAGAGCAGCCGCTCATTTCTGTAAAAGAATGAACCTTCATGAGAACCACATCCAGTTGTAGCTGATAAGGATCGGGGGCTCTGATTTCTAATCCTTATACGAAACTTGATCCTCTTCAGCAGTAGAATAAAAGAGAGTTGCTCTTTCGAACCCTGCTAGGGCATAGATTAAGCCAAGAGAAACCTCAAAATTTCCAATACCTTTCATATCCTCTTGATCTGCGAGTCTTTGCCAGTTACTTATAGGCGGCGGTGCATGAACACGAGTCGCACTAATCTCGGCTGCCGCAAGCTCCTCAACGAATGCTCCCTAAAGAGAATGAAATCATCGAATGAATTTAAAGAAACTCAAAATGAAATTCCGACAATACCTCAACCACTGAAGCGGACCAGTCTATATAAGCTCCCAGTTCCACGAACAGCTTCACACATTCATCCAGACCCAACATCTTGAATATTATGATTCTAGCATATTTATGATAAAGAACCAGCCTGTTAATGCAAAGTGCCTAAAATACCTGATAGTAGTGAGTTAAGTTCACAATTTCTTCGTATGGGAAAATCGCGATCAGGACATCCATTTCAGAAACCTGCGGTATGTTCCTTGAAAGTAATTGGATAACTTAATGATGCTCAAACAAACGTCACTAATTTATTGTACAAAAAACAACAAACTCCATCTTGACGACGCGATCTTTCATTGCAGGTTTCCCCTCTCGCAATCTTTCTATTTCCTGTGAAGTGCCCTCGATTACATCATCGACAAAGCATGATATTCCGGCACATGTTAGCGTGACTAAAAAGGAAACAATAAGGGACACCAGACGCGATACAATATCGCTACATTTCAAAGGAGCATTGTGTTGCTACGCTCACATATGGTCATGCCATGTAAACACACTATCGCGCAATTTCTTTGAGCACCATGTATCAAGCACAGCTTATGTAATGTATGGGTCAGCCTCTAGGAGAAACGCCACATTCTGGAAAGCTGTTCAAGTTTTCCAGCAGCATCGTATATAAAGAACTAGAGAAACTAGAATGAGAAATGAGAGAAAAGAGATTTCTTGATGTCAAATTGTCCAGTAGAAACCAGGAGACGTTCCTAATAGGTAAATGAATAAGGTTATGAGACTTTGAGAGTTTTCGATGGGGATGGAAAATTGTGCTGGCCTTGAAAACCAAAACTGTATTGATACAAACATCTCAGTCTATTCAGAAGTAAGCCTTCTCTACCTGAAAAGGCCCCATGGATCGTTAACACACATATCAAGGAATTACAGCATGAATGCCTCCCAAGACAAGGATCAACTTCTAGCAGAAAAAAAAAACTAGGATCAGGAAAGAGATTAAGCACCATCTTACCGTAATACACTCTCGTGAAGGACTCCTTAAAGAAAGTAGGGGATCGTTACCAAGTAAACTCTAAGAAGGTCGGCAATCCGATGCTGGAAAGGGTTATCTTAGGACCAGGCTTCAATTTCCATAACGTCCCCACACAGTTCTGGAGGTAGCATAATAGACCACTTCGAAAATGCCATACTGATTCCTAATCAATTACTGTCTCTAGAGGGAACGGTTTACTGAAGATAAGGCGGAACCGCATCAAATCAAAATTCACACTACCACTCGACCACAACATAGAGGTCGCTTGGCTAATGATTTGGGAATGTGTCCACAAAAGAGCCATTTTGCGCAGTATATGCGTATGAGAAATTGAAAAACGCGATGATTCCGATCCCAAATAACTCTGTTATGCCCGGACTAAGTCGAATGGCACACGAAGAGTATGAAATTAGGGAAGTATAGGAGACGCGAGTGAATATCAGAAGTTCTGTGGAAACAATCAAATTGGAAAATCCTGCGCATAAATGAAAATTGAGAGAAAACCGAAGAAAAAAATTCAAGAGCACTGAAGCAAAACCAACCAACAACCTCATTTGTCTGAGTCGACATATCACGAACTGTTAACGATCGCACGTGTGAAGCGAAGATCAACCGCCAATGAGATTGGAGAAAGCAAAGAAGAAGGTGCAGATGTGGCAGAGGGTGAAGGAGATCCAGAAGAACCTGGAATAGTATCCATACTAACTAACCAAGTGTTTGAAGAGCACAAGCAAAGCAGCATCATAATGTTTACTATACTCAGTACTTTGAAGAGGCGATCATGTCATGAAAATCGCAATCGTGAACAAATCGTTCTGTCTTGATTAGCTCCAAGTGTAAACGTACTCGACGAGTTCTGCTGAGATAATCCAGGTGGGCGATCATCAGAAGACACCTCAAGTGTGAAAGCGAAACTATTATCGGGAGCTGAAATTTCGAGATTAAATTACAGTAAACAAGCTAACAGAAAGGAGCAACACTCCTAGGCCGGTCTCAGAGTTTGCGAATCTAACGATTCACTACTACAAATCCAGGGTCGCTACTAGCGAATCGCTCGATTAGCAAAGTCTGACACCGGCTTCAATGATTTCCGGAAATGCAGTATGACAAGGAATGAACTTGTTTTGTACCATGACTCTAGCAAGAACATTGGTAATCTCCTGTTCCGTTCAAATACCCATGAAGACATTTCGCATTCACCTACTACAACTGCTATCAACTCTTAAAAGTAGATAATAACAATGCAGTACCTCGCAGATCAGCTCGAGAACAATCCAGGCCGATTTTCCCATCAATGCCACTTATGGCTTCAATGCAAGGTGGTTCTAATCTGAAAGGAGCGAAAATGGAAACGGCAGCCATGGATCAAATATGAGGACATTACCTGACTTGCCGGCCTCTTCCCACCAAGCGCGACAATGGAGGCTTCCCTTGTTCCTCCAGTGAGTTCAGCATGAACGCTATCTTTTCCTTTTCCAACCCATGGGTATTGCGTCTAAGCGGAACAGTTAAGAAATGTTCACGATAGCCAAGCAAGACAGAAATTAGTCCTACATGAAGCATTCATGAGCTTTGTACTTCCACCATGTCTCTGGTTCAAGCACAAATATCTCATAGTAGTTGTTAACGGCCTGAAAATTACACTAATCGTATCGAGGAAGAATCAATAAATCGAAACTCCTCCGATTCCAAGCAAACCTACATGAAAAGTATACTGTTCCATGTGGTTGGAGTATATATTAGTATTGTCCACAATAATAGGCTTAATCCCATCCACCATAGCCTCTCTCACTGAAGAGACAAATTCGAAAAAGCTTACGTGAGAGGTGAAAATGGAATCAACTCACCAAGAAATTAGTATTACCTCTTAAAATATTATTTCTGTGATACTCCTCCAACTTTTCCGGTTGAAACTGATATTGTCCATCTCGAACGAAGAAATCGTCCGTGCTGTACACAACACCACCATGATTTGAAACCAGGGATCTGCATTTCAAAACAATGACTTCCACGGAAAAAGAACTCGGTGAAGATCCACGTTGTTTCAGCTATGACTTTATTTAGGCTAAAACTGTTTAGGCAGCAATATCAATCAATGCAGTAGTTGTACATTCTGAAACTAACCAGGGAAGGCATTCAACTTCCCATGGAACTTTGAGATCAAGACCCAGATATATCGATAGAGCTTCAAACGCTGATTACAAATATGGAAACTAAAACTGCAAAATGAACCTGAAGTTGTGAGCAGTCAAAGTTGGCTAAAGTAAAGCGCTATGTGTATTGAACGTGCTAGCCTCCGAGCTTTCGAGTCGCTGTGGAGTAGTGGTGTGCTTTCGAAATTTGCACTACTACAGGAAGAGCACTCATGACTTCCCGTTCGAAGATCGAAGGCACTACCACTACTCCGCGGCGACTCTGAAAGCCTGAGGTCCAGCACGGTTCATATGCGAAACCCTGCTTGCCAACTTTGACTGCTACACCTTCCTTGGCAGGTTCACTTTGCAGTTTTTTAGTTTGTCATAGTTGTAAACAGGGCGTTTGGAGCTGCTATCCGGATTTGATTTGGGTCTAATTCCCAGATGTTCCGTTAGAACATTTCACTTACCTTCCCTTGGGGTAACGAGGAAGGGCGCAGAACAGCAGAGATTCGGACGCACTCACGTTGCAAACTTACCGACTTTTTCCACTGCCTGGAACTCCACGCATCAAAATCATCACATGATGACCCTTCGCGAATACATCGTTGAATGTTCTCCAATGGGGCGTAAGCGTCATAACATTGTACGTGTTGCAGTGGCTTGGACATCGACAGCCCTTAAACAGGGAAAATGTAGGATAGAAATGGAAAAAGTTCACTACCTTCAAGAATGATGAACCAAATACATTTGAACGTAAGAAAATATTTCAAGAGAAATCAACAAATTCCGTGAAACCGACGGAAGGGGACTGAAGGTCGCAATTTACACTTCACTCAAAAAGGCCTTTGCCTGGCAGTGCAGAATCAGAATGACGAAAATGTGGACAAGTAGGACGAATATGCTTTTGAGCCGTGGATGGCAGGTCCTTCGGCTCAGTCCTGCTCTACTTTGGGGAGCGGGCAGGCATGATGCAGGTTTTCCCAGCAAATACGGTAAGCTCCGAGCAGGGGGAGTGGTAGGCCGTCTTTAGGGAAGTGGGGGGGGGGGGGTGACGGCGTAGCCACCTGGGGCCGTATGCTGAATGTTGGGTAGGGGCTGGGGTCCCCGACCCGCGATGCTGAATGTTGGGGCTCCCAGCAGAGTTTCGTCGCGGGACCAGGCGGCCACTGACCGGTCCTTTGATTTTACGATTACCTTTTCACCTTTTCCCTGTTTTATATTGTAAATTTGTCACGCACATACATCATTCCCAGCTATATTGTTGTTAATGGCGTTCTAGTATACCCTCTTGAGCTCATTACTTCAGGGCTGGATCGTTCGTGTACGTCTAGCTATATTGCCATAATCTTGCCAGTCTGTCAATTCACTACTTTAGACTGAAGTTTGGTTCGCGTCTTCTATTACTTCGTGCCATATTGGTGTATTACTTCAATATGGCAATGTGTGCGTGGACGAATCTGTAATCTAGAACAGTGAAAAGACAAAAACTTCATCACAGAATTAAAGGACTGGCCAGTCACCTGTAGGTCCCGCGACGAAACTCTGCTGGGAGCCCCAACATTCAGCATCGCGGGTCGGGGACCCCAGCCCCTACCCAACATTCAGCATACGGCCCCTGACGTGCGCGAAAAGCTGGAATGTTCGAGTTTACCTAGTTCGTCGAGAAACTGCATCATGGTGCCCCCTCCCCCTTACTGGAAAAGACCCGGTAGTAGTGTATGGTATGCATTGGCATGGTATGAAATGTGCAAAATTGTGTAAAAATGAGGTAACGTGACGGGATTTTCTTCTCTCATCCAAGGGGGAAGATGTCATAAAATTCAATAATCAGTGCGGATAACTCCGCCCATTCCGAACGGACCGCTGTAGGTCATTCCCTTTGAGAAACTGATGACACAAGTTCCTGCAAAACGGGCAGCCCGAATAGAAAAATTGAGAAGGCCTCGTCTGTCGATTCAAACGAGTACCAAAGGAACATTCCCTTCAAAGTTATTCTTGAGCGGTACTGTATAACAGAATTTCAATTTAAGAGGAACCTTTGGATAATGCTAGAGTGAAGCAGAGCATCAACACAATTGCTGAGTTATCTTAGCACTTTTAAGCTTCACCGTTTGAAGCCTAGAAGGACTGTGGCTTTTAGGGCGAGCCAAGAACTAAATATCAAGATGGCATGACCGAAAAGAAGCTGCGTATTTGGAATCTATGAACTCGGACAGTTATGATGGCCATTTTTGAGATATATTTCCTTCTTGAAGGAGATGAGTTCGAAAATGTCAGAGTAGGAACAATTCTGAGAAAGCACAGTTGAGAAACCGAAATGATAAGGGCAAAACGGGAAAAAGCGAAAGGGCAGAATACGTGCCAAAAGCACGCGTGACAAAGCGCTAATGGCTCGCCTCGCCCAAGGCCGCCCTACGCCGTCCCATCGGGAATAGTGTGCCCGACCTGATGATATTTTTACTACTTGAATATTTTCATACCTACCTAGGGTCTATTCCAGTTAGGGGGGGGCATCATGATGCAGTTTTTCGGCGAGCTAATGTAAACTCGAACATTCCAGCTTCTCACGCATGTCAAGTGACTGCCCTCACCCCCACCCCCCTAGGCTGGCTACACTCCCCCTGGCTCAGAGTTACCGTAGCTTTTTGGAGAGTCACCGCACCATGATGCCCCCCCCCTACTGGATAGACCCCAGGATTATCTCTGAGGAACAAGCGTTGTTCACATAGGTCGACTTATATAATGGTCAGGTTAAGAAATTGCACGGAATATGAAAATGGAATGATGTGCACCCTACACTCTTCGTTGGAGGGTTGGTGTTTATTTGAATTTAATTTGAGTTCGCTGGGTTGGAGCATCGCAGCCAATATCGCTGCCAATGCTATTTTTCTACGAAGCATCAAGCTACGGAGTGAAATAGTGCCACATTTCATTTGAGGCGAGCTGTCATGAAGAATGGAAAACTGCTGTCAAGTTCAACAGCAACTTAATCGACGATGTAGAACATTTTCTATTTCTGTTTCAAAGGCGTTCATTTTGTACAGATATATCTCTCACTGCGTCATTCTTTTAACCTCATTTCTATTATAATAGGACTTTGTAGGTTTCAAGATCCTACACTCCTTGGGAGCTATCATTGATTTCAATTCGTGATCCTCAGTTGATTTTCTTTGTTTTGTTTACGAGATAAAATGGATGAGAAGGATTAGTATCTATAAATGCGAACAATCTTAAAATATGAACTGCTCGAGAGCATACCATTCTCACTCAATCATCGTTTCCGGTGAATATATAGGTACGGCGTCCATAAGTCTTTTTTTATTGCGACAAATACAGTTGATGACGGAAATTTAGTGAAAACTACCAAAAAATTACGGCAACACGTTTGTTGATGCTAGCAAAATCCAAACTTTTGCAATTTCAGCCAACCGTTCAGTTGTTTTGTCCGATTACGTTTAGGATATCACACGATTGAGAAAAAGCTCGTCATGCCCGGCCTGATTATTACCGATGCCATGTCTCTGGAATGTTCGAAGTAGTACACAAGGGTTAAGCAAGAAGGATGGGCGAGGGGGGGGGGACACGCTCTTCGTATTCAAGGCAGCAAATTGGCGCCTTTTTTGCTACGCGCTCACTTATTATTTTGAAATGAGCACACGTCCAACCACTATGAGGGCAATCAGCGAATGCTCTACTGGCTGCTGTTGAAAAAGGGTCTTGAAAAAGATGATTTGATCATTTGTTAGACTGATTTTATGAGACAGGTGATACAGCACTGAAGACATCATCCAAATATTGGTTAAGATCCGAAATAGGATTCCCACCTTCGAACCGGAACATCAACTACACGCGCCATCTGACATCGTTACGCCCAAGTCGACTTACTATGGTTTCTTCGATTAACTATCTACAATCAGAATTTATTGGAGTTCTACAAGGGAGGCATTCTACGAGGGAGGCGAAACATTTTTCGCTGTGGGAGTCAGAGGCTTTTCATGATCTGTGGTGGACCCGAAATTCCACCGTAATGCGAAATAACGAATCGTGCTGCGAAAGCGAAAGTCGCGGATTTTTTGTAACTAAGTGAACCATACCCATGTACGACAAGCCAGCTCTCCGTCTTACACGAACTTATTCATCTTCTTGCAGCATGAAATCGCATTTTTTTCGCTAAGGTAGGGGAATTTTGTTATGATTATCGTTAGCTAATGTAATTTTTAAGATAATCTTTTCTAGTGACTGTATTTTTCTTATGCGCAATCGCATCATGCAATCATTTGTACAGGACATCCGATAGTCCGAGCTATCGAGTTTCAGTGCCTCTAGAAATGCAACGATGACGTCTGCAAAACTAAAACGATTGTACGATGAATTGCATCAAGTGGAAGCAGGAACTCATCCCAAATATGTGGAACGGTTGCATCAGATCGAAGAACTCTACGAAGAACAGAAAGAACGCGAGCAAATAGCTTACGAGGTATAATTAAAATATCTATTGTTCCATTTCGGGTTAGAATCTGCGATAAATCCTCACCATTTGGTCGTAAATCCTATTCTTATCCGAACATAAATGTATTATTCCAAATTCATGTCTGTTCTAGCTAGCTCTGGAAAGGATAGACTACGAGTACAAGCGACGGAAACAACAGACGCAAGATGAGTTAGAGAAAAAAGAGAAGGAACTTGTCCAGTCAATGCTGGCAGTGAGTCGTCTTTATGCTTTGAGGGCATGAATCAGCCCTAAGCTTTTTATTCAGGACTTAGATGAAATGGAAAAGCGGATAGAATGGGAGTATACAAACATGGATGTTTCTCGCACTGGAAGCATGAACATCATAGATTCCACGAAGAAGACACTACGCGGGTAAATTTTACCTTTAACTTTTTAACTTTATCATCAAGAATTCTGTGATTCCCATTTTCCTATTGAATACATTCTTTTTCGAATTTATAATTTGTTCGAAAATTGTAAATTAATACAATAGTCGAGTATTAGATTAAGAAAATAATTGAGGTCTCATCTAATAAGGGAGGGAATGTGCTGAGAAAGTTTACATCGCTTGAGTAATCCAATTTATCCCAAGGAATGTAAACAAGTGTGGTTGTAACAGCGGAAGCGAATTTACGCTCCTCCTGGTTTTCTTCCTCTTGCAGGAAATTGAAATTTCTCTGGGCAGCAGAAACTGTCGCACCAAATGCTTCCTCCCCCTCCCCCTTACCATTAGTGATGCGATACAAAATATGCTGGGAATGAGTACTTCTGAAGACCTACGATGTTAAGTGATACGAGTGCTAAGCATTCCCTGACCCTGAATTTTGCCAGTGATCTGGACATTACTGAATTTTGACGAACGTTATTGAATTTATAGCCGAGGAGGAGTGCTGATCGAACCACCGACGTACTTCAACGCAACGCCGAAGCCGGCGACACCAAACATTACACCTGATACCAGATATCTCCTGACGGATTCTGAAATAGCTGAAGACGTTCGAGCGTTCACAGGAGGTCAAAGCTGTCCTCAGAAGGTGATCAACCTTAGTTCTCAATCGGTTCACGAGTTTTCTGTTGCACCTTCACACTTATTTTTGATCAAGGATGCTGCAGCGCTGGCTGAGAGACGGACAAGAGACTTGAGTGACAAAGCTCTACATTTCATCGCTGGAAGAACATCGCCACTAGTTGAAAGTTGTCGAGGAGCGGTCTTTGGACGACTTTCCACCAATGACGACAGTCTTCCACCGATGATGTGTAGAGCTTTTGCACGCCTCTCAGTCAGCGCGACCGTTTCCTCCAAAGAAAAACTTGAACCATGTTATGTTAATGTTTTCTATAAACTTTCGGCAAGGAGCAATCCATTTTATGTAAAGGGTGCGCGTGATCCACAGTAGTGCATTCAGAAAAGGTAGTGTAGAAGATTTCTCATTACCTAACATTCGATCATTTCTGAAGCTTATGTGAAGAACAATTTCAGAATCAACGGCTTTTCGAGGTGATACTAGTCAAACAGAAGCTCACCTATGATGGGAAAGTGTAAGTTGATTCCTCTCTGATTCCTTTATTCGGGAGTTACTCAAGATCCACTAGCTTTCCTTTTTCTAGATACAAACAAGGCGAAGAGGTGCACGTGGAAAATACGGAATACGGGAAATTCCCAGCAAAGATGGACTGCATTACGGACACTGTAGTATCATTCAAATCAACGCTACCTTGGGACACGAGGCAGATTCATGCTTCATACTCCGATTTGACTGAAGGACGGGTGCAAATATCAAAGAAAAGAAACAATTAGGATCGATTCTCATTTCACTTTCCACTGTTTATTGCTCAACATCCATTCTGACTTTTAATGCTCAATCAATTTGCATTTGAAATTGTGCCAGAAATGTTGTTATGTGTGTCTATTGTGTATTTTACGGTTATGTAACTTCGATTTGTGGATAATTGTTTGATTTATTGTCGAGTGAGCGAGCGGGGGCTGAGGAAGGGCAGGTGGGAGTGGTGCATATTGGAATGTTTTTGGTCGTCAAGTCGATGAAGGGAGCATGTAACACTGTGTGTTACATTTTGTGTATGTTGGAAACTGTTGTCGGGGGTGGGGGCGGTGTTGGGGGTGATGTGTAGGTGTTTGCGGTGAGGTGAGAAGGGTGTATGGTCGGAGGGGGGACGAAGGAGATGGCGGTTGCAAGTGTGCGTTTCGGGGGTGACTGAAGACGCGGTGATGTGGGAGTGTCGGTGGTGCGAACCAGGGGGTGTGTCATTGTGTAGTACGGGGGGGAGAGTTGTGTGTGGCGGTTGCACATACAGCTCAAAGATCGAGAATGTTGTGGGGTAGGCGGTGGGAGTGTGCGGGGGGGGTTAGGGTGCAATTGAGAGAAGGGGGCGAGGTGTGGATTGATCTGTGTGTGGTGTGCAAGCAGGGATATTGCTGGGGGGGGGGGGAGCGGTAGTGCGGGCAAAGGCGATGCGTCGGGGGGGAGGCGGAGTGTGAGTGTGACCGGGGGGGGAAAAACCATGGGCAGCGTTGGCTGGATCGAAGGGGGTGCGTGACGTGCGACTGTCCGGTGAGCGGACGCGCCACCGCCGAACTTTCTGATATCGATCTCAAACAAAGGCAAGAGACTCGGCTTGAGGGTTCCGAAATAACTTGGTCTTAACACTAAGTGTTAGCTCTCCGAACCGTGACCGCTATTCTCAGAGCGACGTGATATCGGAAAAATTGGCTGGGTCCAGTGGAAGGTTGGGGCCAATTATTGCCCAGAGTGTGTATTGTTCCAAAATAGAGAGCTCGTGTCAAGAAGCCGCATCAAGCCCCCCCCGGCATTGCGCCGTGACCTGCCGAGAAAGGGCCGAGCCATCAACAACTAGAGGTTTGGTTTGGGGGGGAGTTTGAGGCTTTCGTGTGGGAGGAGTGGGTGGTGTGTGTTTGGTTCTTGGACTGATGAACCGATTGGCCACCTGACCCAAAACTACATCATGCGGTTTGATTTAGCAGTGACAGCACAGAAAAGTTAAGGATATCGTCCGCTTGAGGCTGGAATAACAAATATAATTAAAGAATTCTGCTGCTAAGGGCGAGCACAGCCGAAGGCGGTGCTCGGAAGGGTTGGACCTTATGCCCACGAAATGACCACATATCGCTTCCTAAGGCCTCTTACTGTTCCTTCCACAAGTGCATGTACTTCTGTGCTGCACACACTCGCAATCCCTCGCTTTAAACGAAGCCCTAGCGACAGTGAACAGGGCAAACACCAATTTTTGACATTTCACCGGGCGCAGCGCTTGGGCTCGACCATGACAGCATAGCTTCTTACTCCCTTGATGTGTTTTACAAGGATTGATTAAACTGTGGGAATATAGGAGTCTAGATTCAGATTTCAATGGAAAATAAGTCAATTTCTTTCACACATACGACAGAAGGGACCCTACTCACTTCTACCGGTCATAGAATTCAATCACCGGGTGACTTCAGGCTATGAAGCGACACCCAGAGGATTCACCTGAGGAGCTTGCCAGCACCACTTGGGCAGCGTATCGAATTGAATCATAGAATATATTTCAATAAAATAAGAAAATCACAATATCTTTCAATACACTATGGCATGAGCAATCTTCCTGAGTTTAGTAAAGCAAAACAATTTTAACAAACGTTCCCTTAAACAGGTAACAAAAATTTACAAGAAATCTGTGCACCAAGAGTTTGAGGTGTGTGAGGTTTAAGTAGTTAACAACGAAAGATTAGCAATCGAAAGGGACACATGAATGATGTTAGAAGGAAAATGGGGGAAAACGTGTACAAACTAGAAAAATGTCATAGCAACTAGGCAAAAAGAGCAAAGCAAGCCTATGGCACAAAAGGAGGTTTACCGGAATTTTTCTTCTTATCTGGGCATACCCAATAAGATACCGCTAGCACACTTTCGTAGGCTCCGAAGAAAACGAAACCGCCTACCGTCATCCAGAGAACGCGTGGTACGATACCCGCAAAAAGTGCTGGGAAGCCGCGAGCGACGTAGATCTGAAATATAAGCCTCATACATCGTCAAGAAACAAAATATGCGCTAACCTCATTCAGCGTCCTTAATATGGTTGGAGCTTTTGCAGATTTTGAGAGCATTATCCGCGTCTTCGCTACATCAAGAGGTGTCGTAAGAGCAGCAGCGAACGCCCCTGCTATACTTCCACAGGCAGCGCCTTCAATAGGCGAACAGTCAGCACCCTAAACGGAAGTTGCTAAGTTTAAAGCTCAGAATACATCAGTCAATCGTGGCCTAACCCACACGTTACGAAGTAGATCTACAGAAGAGATAAGTAACCTGTCAAACCTTTCTCGAAGCGATGGTTTTCTTCAAAAATTCATAGAGAGGAAATTCTATGACAGCGAAGGGAATCTCCCTAGTCACAGTGCTTAAGTATCCTCTGTAGAAACCCAGGAGGCGATTAGACTTGTATATTTCTCGACACACTTGCCTCAGCTCTAGCCTGGGAATCGAAGCCTGAACACTGCAAGAAAGCAATAAAGTGCTAGGACAAGAAATTTAGGCGCACCTACCTGTAGTCGTTGCTTAACAAGCTCTGTTGGGACGCGGACGGCACAGGCTATGGTCTCTGCCAAGCTGGCGGAGAAGGCGTGAACAATGGCTGCTAAACCAATAGAATTTGAAGCAAGATCCCCGATATCAAAACGCTCTTAAGCAGTGCCACCTACTCTCTTCTTTGAAGAATCCATTTATTGTTCTGTAGCTCAGGAAAAATAGTGCAGCTCCAGGAGCTGACCCTATAGCGACTGAACCCATGCCGCTAAATAAGCAAATGATACAAAAAAAGAGGACATAGGGTCAGGAAAGAATACCTGTAAATGTTTCGGAATCCGCCTGCAGCTATGAAACCTTGTTTGCTTTGCAAACGCGTTTTTATTGTATCGAGCGGATATAGTCCCAGGTCGACTGCCAGACCTGCTCCAGCACCGCATATCAACCATCGGGGAATGTCCTCATTCATAGAAACACCTGAAACAGAAATCATGCGTTCGCTACAATAAACAAGACCCATGGAGAAATGTAACGCGACCGTTCCTTTTCACTTTTAGGTTTGCTAGCAAGATTTTTTCTCTCCTGCACTACCAATACTGAAGGTAGGAACTGCGAAATGAAAACTCCATGAGTTAGCAGAGCGCAAATGGTGAAGTAAACGGCAACAACAGGGATGAAGAAGATGTTCTCGACTTCTGAATCTGACGGAAAGTGCTTATAGAAATAGCGCTCTACTGAAATATCTGCAAAATTACGTGTGCTCACGCACTTTTACGGAAGAATAGCTATCGAGTGTTTTATATAGTGGGCTGAAATGGTTTACAATAGAAGGGTTCCTTCCTTTCTTTTTTGATAGATATGAATGCTTAACAATCTACAGATATTGTCGAGGCTAGGTAAGGTTTTATAGCATTTCTACACTTTACATAATTCACGGCAAATGCTTTATTGCAGATTTGCTACAGTTGAGTGCTTCGTTGTGAAGGATCCGGTTGGATTAGAACTAGTATAAGGTGCAGGTTAGTTGTTTGTTTCTTCACCTCGTAGTCTTATTTGGCGTTTGAAAAGCTCTCACTTTTCTTCGGGAAGCAGCAATTCTTATGGGAAGTGAAATACGTAAAGTGGGGCAAGGCTAATCAATTTACTGTGTAATCTCTGTTGTGGGGCATATAGTGATTGGTCACTGGTTTATTTTTTTAAATGACTCGAAACGTGTTGGTATGCTCATTCATATTCCACAGTTCCTTTGTTTGAGTTACGTCTGAATGTGGAATTTTCTCCTTGATCGGAGATCCCATTGATCGGAGGAAATGTGGATGGCACCCCAATAGAAAACCATGTTGTAGGGGTATTTTGGATATTGTTGTGATGTTGTAACTCTTCTTTGATAGATTCGGTTCCAGTGAATTTTCGTTCTAGTCTCTCCTTTTGCCGTGCAAGAATCAACGTAATCATTTTGTTCGATGTCTCGCAGAGTGGATTGGTGGATACGGCAGGTGTACCTCGGCATAATCCCTTCGTATCCTGTAGGATATATGATAGTTCACGGTAACTACCATTTCTTCTTATTCATGCTAGATCCTCATGTGGCAACTTTTTAGGGTTTCGCGATCGTCCATGGTCTAAAATATATGTAGAAAGGAGCGCTTTCCCGCCTTCAGAACAGCTCAAGGAGTTGGTCGAGTCAGAAATGGATAAATTATACGACCTCAAGATTCCTAAGGTTTTTCTACATTTTTGATTTCTTACTTTACTCTGTAAATGAAGTAAGATATGTGTCTAGGTGTATGTAAGCCTGACGGACTCGAGTGAGCCTCGCGTGTATGGAGGATTTTTTCTAAATGGGGGCGCTGAACTTCAATTTCCCATGAGAGTGTCTTTCGAAGATGTGGAGAGTGCTCGTCGTTTAGCTCAGAATGTCGAACTCGACTTGGGCTTGGCTAGGTAGGAGCGGTTTTTTATCATTGCCATGTATTATTTTCCATCGAAATAAGGTTTTTCGTATAACCGCGAGCTCCTGTCTGCACTTACAGTCCAGCTCTTCTGAAACATAACTCCTTGAAATGTTTTTGGGAGGGAAACGCATCGTGAGTTCTGTCTTCACTGCTACTTTTGCTTGAGATGCAGAGGTGGAGTTCTGTCGCAGCACGACTCGGCGGTATATCTGGCAGTTGAACGACTTAGTGATCACTAGGGCGATGACGTTGATCAAGTTATTACACTATCGCCTTGTGTTGCGACAAAACTCGGTAGTGGCTTAGGAAAGAAATATCAATAAATCAAGACCTTTTCATCATAAAAACTTTTAACTATTAGGCATCGGCGCAAAATCGAAGTAAACACAAAGATTGGAGAAGAGCTGACGTCGCGTATGGTGTTGTCCGACGCAGCAAAGATGTTCATTGTACAGCGGCAACTTCAGCTCGCTAACAGGTACTGGTCCAATTTACATCATACAGTGCTAAATTCGACGTAATTTTGTGTTGTATGTATGCTCCTTGCAGTGGCATCATTTTCTCCACGCCGATTCTCGCTTGGTTTGGGATATTTACTGCAGGATATGGCATCGCTCTAGGTACTTTGTCTGAAATAGACTCTTTGTGCTATGTTGATCGTTGGACTTAGTGAACGAAATTGTCGTTAAACATCTCTCAAGCAGCATTTTGTCTCGACTTGTGCTGGATTCATGATATATTTCACAGAGAATTTTTTTTTATCTTTTTTTAATTTCCT